GGGTTTGAACCGCCAGCCTTCTGGTTAGCAGTCAGGTGCTTTAGCCATTATGCTACCAGAGCTTCTGTCCAGGTTCCATAATAAGTAATAACTGTGTTAAATTTTAGTGCTGTATAACTGTCATTCTAACTCAATATTTAAGATGATAGGTTCTATGGCAATAGGTTTGGTTTGGATGGTTTTGCAGTGTTCAGATGTAAAGAAATGAACTATGATTTCATCATAATGACTTTATAACTAAGATCATGGCACTATCACAAAGTTTACAGCCTAGGAAACTGTATAAGCCAGTTCTACTCTGTTCTGTTGTGTCACTATGCACTAGAATTGACTCAAGGGCAAAAAACAGCAATACAAATAAAGTGAAGAAATGCATTGCAAGTTTCCATCTCACTGAATCTATCATTTCACTAGATTGAAAGTTTCCTGTCAGTAATGGAAAACAAGGATGAAAATTTAGAGGGCAGGGATGAGTAGTTTTGTTAGCACGTTTCCACTGACTACTTATATGAAACTATGTATAAATTGTCTTGTGACAACTTTGAAACCTGTAAAATTCATTCACAATATGAATTTTAGTTGTTTTTAGTACTAAAACCATGTGTGGTTATTATCTCATTTTACTTATGGGAGGACAGAAATAGAGAAGGAAAGTAACACTCACAAAGGGCTATAAAGCCAGGTTTTCAGGCTGCCATTTTAGAGGGTTTTCCAGAGAACTGAAGACTGGTCTTAGACACTCAGAAGGAAAAAATCAGTTTCATGGTTCATTCACTTATGTACTTAACAAATATGTACTGACCAGCTACTATATATCACTCATTGATTTAGATACTGTTCATAGAATAGCAACACACAGACAAAATGCCTGTTGTCTAGTAAGAGTGGAAGGATAAGAAGCAGAATAAATAAAGTTTTGTTGTTGATGCTGTTAGGTGCTGACCAGTAGGTTCCCACTCATAGTGACCCTATGGACAAGAGAGAAACACTGCCCAGTCCTTCACCATCCTCACAATTGTTACTATGCTTGAGTCCATTATTGCAGGCACTGCGTCAATCCATCTCATTGAGGGTCTTCTTTTTAACTGATGTTCTACTTTTCAAAGCAAGATATCCTTCTCTAGGGACTGGTCTTGCCTAAAAACATGTCCAAAGTACCTGAGACAAAATCTGGCCATTCTCACTTCCAGGGAGCAGTCTGGCTATACTCCTAAGACTGATTTGTTTGCTCTTGTGGCAGTGAACGATGTTTTCAGTATTCTTCAGCAACATCATAATCCAAAAACATCAATTTTTATTTTGCCTTCCTTGGTCATTTTATTGCTTTCACATGCATATGTGACAATTGAAGATACCATAGTTTGAGTCAGGCTCACCTTAGTCTTGAAATTGACAGTTTTGCTTTTGAACCCTTTAAAGAAGTCTTTGAAGCTGATTTGTCACATGCCATATGTTGCTTAATTTCTTGGCTGCTGCTTCCATGGACATTGATTGGGTATCTAAGTAAAATGAAATACTTG